TTTTTGGTAAAGAAGCCAAATTCATGATTACGCAAGGGAAGTTACGAAAGAAGCATCTCAGAGACAGAAAAGTTATTTTGATCGTAACGTGCGTGAAGCTTATTATGAAGTTGGAGATTTAGTACGAAGAAGTCAACCAAAAGTCGATAAAGGACAAAAGTTAAAACTGTCGAGAAAATGGACTGGGCCATGGATACAGTACCCGCATCGTTATTCTTTACAATTCTATCGTGTTCTATCGTGCGTGTATCCTATCGTATCGTGCGTGTATCCTATCGTATCGTGCGTGTATCCTATCGTATCCTATCGTATCGTGTTTTCCGTTTATCAGGTTTTGCGTTTTCTATCGTGTTTTGCGTTTATCGTGTTTTGCGTTTATCATGTAGATCGTTTATCAGGTTCTATCGTGTATCGTGTTTTGCGTTTATCGTGTATATTCGGAAACCCTCGCTTTCTATCTTTACTATGTAAAGAAACTACTGAGCTATTCCGAGTTTCTTTTTCGTTTTGTTAATAAAAATAAGATTTATTCAACCGAAAAAGAGAAAATAAAGATTTTTCCCTTTATTTTTCATCAATAGAAGAAATATTAAAGCGTAGAAGGAAAAAATAATTAATCGCGTATTTCATGAATGAATAAATTGATTTATTAATAAATAATTAATTAAATAAAATAATTATATCATGGTAAAGCAGAGAGTAGTTGTCAAAATTTTAAACAGTAACTCTATTTTTCGGAAATGAAATTATAAGTAGATCGATCACCTGGTCTATTTCTTTAACAAGTATATACTGACAAAAAGTCAGAGATACTCAAGCTGTAGAAAATCAACTTAGAAAAGTCATTAATATCCTAAAATGGTATAATGTGGGCTATTGAGTTCAATCTTCTATTGAATTATATACATGTACATGAAACAAAATTCATATAATGAAGTTATTTAGAATAAATATAATTTATCGTACTATACGATGAATTTACGTTACTCACTTTCAGGAATATTTTATAGAGTATAGTAGACGTTTCTTGAATTAATAAAATATTTTTTATGTAGACATTTCATATACTTCAAACTATACGCTTTTTTAATTTTGCTTAATGACGTACATAAAAACATTTTATAAACATCAATCTAAATAGCTTGTTGCAAGTCGGAAGAAAAGTTTTTCAAAGTGGTGGGGGGGGGGGGGGGGGCTCAGGGCTCCAAAAAGCCACGTAATTACCGGTATACGGGTACATCTAACTGTGCGGCATGTACAGTACATATTCCGTTCGAATCCAAAATAAGTTATTTAGGTTCCGTTACCAACAAAGCTGAAGAAAGTACGATTTTTTAAAATAAAAAAAAAAACGTATGAGGGAGAAATTAATTTTGCGCTATTATTTTACTGTCACTCAAAGTGCACATCATTTTCAGGCCCGTTATAGGCAATTTCAGTTTGGGGGTACAGCCATACATTTTTTTGCTACGCATTGTAAAACTTTGACAGATAATAATGTATCTTAGTGTAGTCTACTTGTGAAGTTATGCCAAGTTATACTGAAATCAGACCAACACTGCGAGAATAAGCGTTTCGAAAATTTGTTAAGAGAAGGACAATTAGAAATGGGGTAACCTGCGTCACCTTTCAGAGTAACCAGTGGACTCGTCCAAGGATGCTTTGTCGGCGACTGTAAAAAGTACCTGAGATTCCTACGCAAATGAAAGCGCGAAATCTCTGTATAGAAACTGTTGCAGCTGCGACGCTTCACTCATTGTTCATACGCTGTAGAATAAATCCGACTTTTAACACTTAATATTTTTGAATATACAGACGTTTTCAACATAAGCTTCACTTTTGTTTCTAGAAATATGTTTATCTACAAATATAATATAATTTCGTGTTTTTAAACTGAGTGATTCGATAACCTAGCATCGTTTTAGATAACTCAAGCCCCTCTAGGGCTTGAGTAAAAAGTAATTTATCGAATTGTATGATTTATTTTGTCAAAATTAAATACTATTGATATGATTTTCTTAAATAAATCGGAGTTACCGGAGAAAGATTTTTGGTAAGCTACAATGTTCCCGTACACAAAAAGCAAATAAATAAATAAAAAGCAGGATATTGAAATGTATCTTTTTTTCATGCAATATTCTGTTTTTCCTTGTTAATCGTCTGATAGCGTTAAGAATATGTTTACGCGTCTGACCTGCATGTATGCACAATTATTCAAAGTCTTGATGTTAAAAATATAATATAACATAAGACAATGATCCAGATGATTTTAGCAACGATTTTGGCCGTATACGATCAAATTTTGAATTTATTTTTTAAAGCTAATTATACATTCCTTGACATATGTCTAAATTAATAAAAGAAATCAAAATTATAAAATATACTGCATGAAAATATTCTACCCAATTTATCACACATGGCTGTTACTATAAAATAGAAGATTTTCATTAATTTTATATGGCATTAGATAACATAAAAATAATATATACATGTACAGGGGAAAACATTTTAACAGCTTACCTTTTCGGCGTGGAAATAAACTCAAAATATAATCCAGCGGGATGCCAAAAATCAAAATAAATCGAAGACCTTTCCTTACAAGAAAACTGACACGTACATGTATGTGTAGCTCTCTAATTAACACACTGTCTTCCTGTGCGGTCAACCACCCCCTCCCCCTTCTCGCCTAACTGACACCTCGGCCCGTGTGTTTAATCACCGTCAACATACCTGTACTGATTTCTCACCTGGGGTCAATTAGTAACCTCGAATACTACCTGGTTCTAATGAAACGCATCTACTTATTTACGGGATTTTGTTCCTAACTTGTTAATTTGAACAATTTTATCAAAGATTTAATTCAAAATATATTAAAAAATTGTACAATTTATGGATTAAAAAATCATCTTGAATGTTAAATAAAAATTCAAATAAATCAATTTAATGGAATGAAGTCCCTAAACTCACTCCGTTGATTTTTTTTCATTTCGTACAATGTTTCCATTATGTTTATGTAAATAAGTCTTTTAATAAACTTAAAAAAATATACAGCACTTATGGTACATGCACTTTCGGGTCATCGGGTTTTTTACGTAATACGGACAAAATTAATTCTAGGAAACAATTTCATTCATCGTAGAAACGGATGAAATAGTTCTTACATTCTAAACTATGAAAATTAGCTCGCAATATTTTTTTAACGGTATCTTACTATAAAAATAAAACAAAGGGAGTCGTGTGATCCGCCGTGACCATGCAAGGCTAATAAATACACCGAATCAATTTATAGTATTAATCGGTTTTATTCCATATGTATATAACTTTATTTAAGAATTCATATTTGGCTATTTGGTTAGATTTTGTTTATCTAATTTTAAATTGGTTGCGGACTTTCAAAATACAGCCCTTCGAATATGTCTAATATGAGATTACCAGGTCAGTGTAAAATGATTTTTAAGGTTTAATAACTCATTTGCCGAATTAAACCTATTTTTTGTTATTATTAGAAACAGTACACACAAAGTTTAATAGCAATGATTTATAATTATTTTGTCGGAAAAGTCGCATTTCACTCTTTTAATTTTTGTTAATTCATTTTTCTGTTTTGTATTGTAAAGAAGAAAGTATTTAATCATTCAATGTTCGTTAATAAATACGAGGTTTTAAGTATCTTTAATGTAAAATGTTTACATGTACACAAGTCAGAGCCTAGCGTAAACGTACATGTGCAGTTGTAGCAGATTCAAATTCTGGAAATTCAGGAAATTTGATTTTCTTGAACTGTTTCGTTCTTGATAGATCTATCATGTTAAATTTATTAATTTTGTTAAAGCCGTTTTCTTTAAACCTTTTTTTCGGCCGGTCTTCTACTTGTATTATTTTCTAAGATATTAATATTTAATTGCGATTTTTGGATACATCGCAGATTATAAGCTTTAGACATTAAATACAAATATTTAATCTATTGCGTAAACTTCTTCCGTGAAATAACTTGGTACTTGTAGATAAATTTATTAGATAGAAAATTAAAATGTATATTTTTCATAAATAATGAATCTGTTTATAGAGTTTCAAAATTCACACCCTTGAGAAGAAATTTAAAAAAAAATACAGTCTCCATTTCATGAAAATCCATTTAATCACTGTCAATTTTTATATATATAAATAAACAACTATTGTAAAATTAATACAGAGATCTCAGGTTCTTTTATGATAATTAAAAGTACTTTATAGTTTAGATTTGAAGCTCTGCAAGTATTCAAATTAAAATATAATTTAATTCAAATAATGTTTAATCTTTAAATTTAATTCAAAATAATCTTTTCGTCTTGTCAGAAAACGTTCCGCATTTTGAAACAATCCTATCAGGTTTTGCGTTTATCCTATCGTGAAGATCGTTTATCAGGTCTATCGTGTTTTGCGTTTATCGTGTTTTGCGTGTATCGTGTTTTGCGTTTATCGTGTTTTGCGTTTATCCTATCGTGCGTGTATCCTGTCCTATCGTGCGTGTATCCTATCGTATCGTGCGTGTATCCTATCGTATCGTGCGTGTATCCTATCGTATCGTGTATCCTGTAAAGAATAACGATGCGGGTACTGTAATAATTAGAAGATTAAGTGATGTACTTTATGAAATTAAGCATTCAAAACAGTCGAAACCCGTCATAGTGCACGCCGACAACATCAAACCCTACCGCGGAGAGCGACAGCAGTCCCGCTATACAACCAGCGAGACAGTGGAATACACGGGTGGCGAGACACCAGACGGTCAACAACTGCACGCGTCTGGACCAGGCCGGCGGCGTTTGAAGTTACCGCTAGCTCCGCCCCCGAGAACAGACAATTCGGAAGCTGACCAATCAGAACCAAGAATGAAGATGACCCGAGGAGGACGGACTATAAGAACCCCCATCCGTTTCAGAAAATAAACATTCGACAAATGTTGTGCGAGACTTGTGGACAGACATTCAGCACCAGCAGTAATCTTCACCAGCATACCAGAGAGAAACATAGTGATCATGTAAATAGTTTACAGTGCAGTTATTGCCAGAGACCCTTTTTGCGAAGATTTAATTTGAAAAGACACTTGACTTCAGTTCACAAACTAAATAGTGAACAATTAGAAGCAGCCATGCCCTCAAAGCGGAGACGAGTCGAGCGTGATGACTTCTTTGAATCCAGGAAACCTGTCTACGTTCATAGCGACTTGTACGAAGACATTTCGTCAGATGAGAACGATGAGACTTACTGTGACGCGCAAGAGACTGATGTGACCAATGTGGATTATCTCGATGATATTTCTTTCGCATCAGAATTGCCGGAGATCGACGAATCTCTGGTAGAAGACATTCTCCATAATTGTGCAGATTTTACTAATGACCGGATAGTCGAGATGTTGGAAGACGAGTCGGCGGACACCCGGGAGGTTATATCTATAGACGAGGACAGCCAACCAGAAACGAGTGCTTGTGACAGTGATTGTGACAGTGAAAATCAGGACACTAATCTCACGCAGAAATCAACAATTTGTCTGGTGTTACATAAGACTGTGAAACGCAACCTAGATGGTACGGAAGAAATAAGCAGAGACTCTCATATCGTGTATTCAGAAGATCTTAACCCTGATGATATTGACTTTCCAAATGTAGCTAACGAAATACTGACGGAGGTGCCGAAACATTTTGAAGACGGCCATGTTCGGATTGTTAAAGGCGACATTTCCCTATGAAAAAAAACTGTAAAATTTTGATGAACAGACTTGTAAATATTTAAGAATTGTCATGATTTTTTTTGTATATATTGACTGCTTATTATGCGTAAAGTTATTGATTTGTTTGTGTTTATAATTGTGCTTAATTGCGTATAATTAACTGGCTGCACTTTGAATTATATTATTAAGTCGTATGTTTGATATTTGAATTTAAATTATGTCTTAATTGTCTGTTTACATGTATTATAATATGGGTAATCATATCGTATTTTATATTGTTGTACATTAATTTTGATCGGAGTCAAAAGCTTAAGTAGGGGGGAGTTGTAACGGTATCTTATAGTATTATTCTGTTTTATTGTTACGCAATGTTTGATTACATGTCATTGCTCCGCGCGAGCAATGTCGTTACATAACTGACCCCGTTAAAAAAGATTGCTCCTCATGAGCAATGCACATTATGTATATATATAGGTCGAGTAAAAGCTTAAGTGCAGTCAGTCTTATTAATTCTATTACACGATATACATGTAGGGAAAAGTGCAGTCCGGCCAGTGTTTTATAATGTGTGAAACTTGGATTTATTTGTGATGTAAATAAACTGTAAATAATTTTATTTTGCGTTTCATTTAATCTAAAGCGTATGCTTTAGAGGTTGGAGAATTAAATTCACATGGATTATTAATAAAACTGGAGTTATATCACACTTGGATTATTTAAATAGCGCCGTTTACCGCTCGACGGCGTTACAATTCTGTTGAAAATTACGCCAGACGATGGGCCAGATATAAAAAAGAAGACGTTGGCACCCTCTGAGAATGGAGTAAATGTATCAGATTCATGTAAAAGTCACGTAATTTTCACTCATTTTAAAGATTGAGGGGCAATGTGAAACCATCTATCCTTCTGTGTTCAATAAACCAGAAGTGAAAAAAAGAATTAGATACTAGATTACATGATCAATACGTACTGGTTCCTGCCGACAAAGCAGGTAACAACATTGTCTACGTTTGTAAGGCTCATTTTATAAATCACATTTTAGAAGAACTTGGATTTAATTCTACAAGTGGTAATATTACTTATACTCATACTTCCCTTTCAAAGGAAGAAATTCTTCAAAATAACGTGTCAGTTTTGAATACTTTTAATATTCCACAGAGCCAATATGAATTTGAACTACCTTATATATTATTAGTTACACAGTCAGTTAGTGACCTAATACGGATTCATACAGGGTGTGAAATGGAAATCCGTACTGGGCGGGACGAAGCCGAGTCCCAATACGGATTTCCATTTCACACCCTGTATAAATCCGTATTAGGTCACTAACTGACTGTGTTACGAATTTATCCCACTGAAGACCTTTTTCAATATAAAAAAGATGTTTGTGCATATTATGAATATTAACGTTTTAATCCAATAACAATCAACATAAAATATCGTTACAGTAACAAGAAATTTAACTAAACTACTTACGTAAACCGTTTCTTAGCCGCCATTTTTATTTACAATAACAACGCTTCGAACGGAATCGCGTGCCCGATTTTCATATTAAGCCTCGGCGGAGACGTAATACAGAAAATTTCAAGGCGTCATGTTATTAGCTTTTATCCAATAAGTAATCGACAAATTTGTCTAAAGCGGAATAAATTGGATTCCGAAGCTTCATAAGAATCCTTACAAACAAAGATACATTGCAGGTTCAAGTAAATGTTTAACCAAGCCTCTTTCTTTACTCCTCACAAAGATAATGACAGTACTGAAGGAAAAACTTCAAGAGTACTGTGCATCTATATATTCAAGAAGTAGTATGAATCAGATGTGGATACTAAAAAATTCTAAAGAACTTTTACACAATTTGAAATCACAAGACTTTACAAAAATCAACTGCTTAAAAACTAACGATTTTTCAGTCAGCTTTATACACAACAATTCCCCACGACAAATTAAAATCTATGATTTTCGATATCATTGACAGCTGCTTTTAAATAACAACGGAACTCGTAAATTTACTTATACCTGGGGCCCGTTTTAAAAAAGAACTTACGACTAAGACCAAATACTTCAGATTGTTGTAAACTTTTGCAAAATTAATAATTCTCTTTGAATTATTTAATGTAAAAATTATTTTGTTAAAACAGATTCTGATTGCACACATAAGTACTCTGAAGTTGACATCAAGAAGATGCTTGAAAAGCGGGAGGGTATATAGTAATCGTTAATTCCGTCCGTCTGTTACGCTTTGGGGTATCCCAAGTCTCTTATCCGCAACTCCTCTCATACCACTGAATGAAATTTGATGCATGCTTTGGATACAGAATCTTTATTACATATTGCCATTGTGCACCTCCTATTTTACTTTTTGATCCGACACATATTTTGAGTTTTCCAGCTACAGGAAAACATGGATTTTTCACCAGTTTTAACCATATTGGAGGCGGGGGTATCATTTAATGAGCTCATCGCTCACAGTACCTCTAGTTTAACTTGACTTACAACAGCATTAATTTCTATTTATGTTTCTAAGTAAAATAAAACTTATCTGTTATAAATAGTTTTCCTTTACCTGTTGGAGAGAACTTTCTGAAAAAAGATAAACAAAAGTCATTTTTTGAGACTTTTATAAAACAAAATTATATTAAAGCACTATAGCAAAATATTGTAAATTATGTTTATTTAATCCTTCGTATTTGTATTTCTTTCTCCGTCGGTACATCAGTATTCTGCTTTTCTAATGTATATTTATTCATTAAGATGTCTATATTTTCAGATTTTATATTTGATATTGTCCGTCAAATGAACTTGCTTACCTCTCTTTTCCCAAGTCGGAGACCATTGATATGTCCTTTTTTCTATGGAAGACAATAATTAGAATTAAATAAAAAGTAATAGTTAGTTTTAGAATACAAAACGCTTCTGTGTCAATAATTCAGTTTAATAACCCAAAACAGTACTTAACAAAGTTACTTACTAGCATCACTGTAGATTGTTTGGTTGTTTAGTGATATTATCAGATCGTTGGCTTTTAACTCGAAACAAGCTAAATATCTGGGTTTAAGAGCAAATCAAGAATTTCTTTTCCTATTTCTCCTGTCGCCACAGTCTTTTTCATAAAGTTGATATCCCTTCTTCGAATAGAAATGTTAGGTGAAGTAATAAACTGCTTTGATAGCTTTTTCTATTAGCACCATACTTTGTTCTTAAAATGATGACAAATTTCGTGAATTTTGCCAAAATACTGATCTTTCGAACTTGCTGGTTTGCATAGGTTTTTATTTTTGATGACAGTTTCTCAAAGAAATTTATGAGAGAGGCCCGTGTTATTTCGATTGAGCCTTGCTTTAAAAGGGTTTCTACTGTGTCAAAAATTTCCTTTAACTCCTCTTCTGTTGTAACTTCATTGATACAGTCTACCATATGATTCAAAAGGTCAATGGTTGTTTCCAGTAAAAAATCTGTTTGTTTCTTCTTTGCGGGATTTTTGCTTCGGCAGTCACTTTTGCAGATGCAGAAAAAAAACCTTGTAAAGAAAATTTTGTAAATACATTTCAGTAATGGTTTATTTATATCTAAAACTGTACATATAGGCCTTGCAGGTTTACTGTAACTGGATGGCAGTAATTTGAAAGTTTTTTTTATTTCTAAGTTACACGTTACAGGGCCTAGCATATTGGTTTAATACTTTCTATTTTGGGTAGGGAATGGATGGTGGTGTTGATGGCAGTAACGGCAGTTTGAGAGTAAAAAAATCATTTAAGATTTTGAAAACAGACCGTCGACAAAAAGGCTTCTTATAATGGAAGGAAAGGCTGTCATCACTGAAATACAATAAAGGTCTAGCATATATTCTTTTTCTTGTAAAAATGAGTATCCAGATAAAGGGGGGAGTAGAAGTCAGTTTCTGTAAGGAAATATCTTATACCATACCTTCAGAAGAGCTTTAGTTTAATGTTAAAAATTGTATGTTTCAATACTGTAGATAAATCATCACCTATTTCTGATCTCACTGAAGCTATTAGTTCCCTGACCACTTCAAGGATTTCTTTCTCAATTTCAGACAATTTTTTGAATTTTCTCTAATCCACTCTTTTTCTAATTCCTCATTTAATGGTCGGTATTGTGCATCTTGAAGACTCTGAATGTAATTTTTTTTTAGGTAGTTCCCAATTCTTTGACACAAGCCGTACATGACAGCCCAATACTCATTGAATTCAGTTTAAAACAAATCTGTATGAAACATGGCTATACAGTCCGTTTCTAATTCAAGTGTAGGTTTTTGTCATCACCAAGACTAATCTCTCCCTGAGATGGCATTTCTGTGATCCCCCATCCTTGTGTGGGAGATGGGATTCATTGGAACAAAGATTACGTATCAATGTATAAAGCAATGTAATGTCAAAGTCTCTGTATCCATCAGTTTGTGCATTCTGGATTATAAGAAGTTGATCCTTTCGAATGAGTCTAAGCAATGGTGTATTTGCTTTGACTCTGTTGAACTAACACTAGCAGAAATTTCTTTTTCTAACACATCTGCAAAAGACCGTCAGCTTTCCACTATGATCAAAGCAAGTGTCGCAAATCTTGTTCTGTCACTTGGAATAAACACTTTAAAACGCCATTCTGAAAAATGTAAATATGTATAAATTCCTAAATATATTTAGAACAACGAGATCACTTAGGCTCACTCAACACACAATTTTTTTCAATGTACTAATGAATCATTTCTGAGTTCATATAAAATTCAAACAAGAAACATATATTGACGCAAGCGTCAAAAATCGACCGCAAACCAATTAATTGTTCCTTTTATGAAGCAACTAAAGACTGAAATGCTACTCCTGTTTTTAAAATATATTATATTTATCTGCTAATATATGATTGGCCCCATGAGAGAAGGTCCTTATGGCAATTTTTACACGTTTTGAGTTTTTCATGGATTGTAACAAAGCAAGGTTAGAAGTTACTGAATATGAATTTTTGTGGCCCTAATTCTTTCTAAGTATGTTTTTTCTTCATTT